TCTCTTTATGGCATTTCAAGATACTTTGCCCTTGTTCAAAAGGGGCAAACTTTTAGAATTTCTGCAAAATGCTATTCTTTGAAATTTCGAGTTACTAATGACTTTGCAAAAATTCATTTACACAAAATTCCCTACTACTACGTCTACAGACTTCTCCGAATGTTACGATAGAAACGATAAAAACCTTTCCTGATGAATTTTTGTCCACCATTCCCTACTGCGCATGCGCTAGATTTTCCTCGACGCAATTCCGCATCTAATTCCCGGGGGGGGGGGGAGAGGGGGGAGTACTCATATGTATTTAGGATAGGGGTGCTCAGGCTGGGGTACGAAGCATCAGCCCAAAAAAATATTTTTTAGCATAAAAATTGACCCAAAAAGTAATTATCCATGTCTTGCACATTCAAAAAATAACAAATAAACTCTGTTCTATAGATACTCTTGAGATCATATGCACAGCAAATAAGCAAGTATACTATATATATCAAAGATACACACTTTACATCATCTTGTAGTTTCACTTTTGCATTTTGGCTAAAAACCTTTAAGATATTCCAGTCAGTTTGCTGTCTAGGGCTGCTAGTTAGGGCCATGTTTATGTCGTTATGTGTTGAGCTTTTGATGTGCCTTTGTTCGCATGTGTATGTAGTGAAGACTCTTGACTACTGTTTTTGATTCAAAACAAAAACCTGAAGAAACTAGAAGTTTCAAAGAGAAAGAAACCATTCCTATCTGAATGAATTATGTTTCGACAACAGGAAATCGGATGTTTAATTCATTAATATGAACGAAAATGCCTCTATATGAACGAAAGACTGGTACCGACCAACATAATAGAAACATGTCTATAATGAAATTGAGGAGATGCCTTTCAAAAAGAAAATGATAACTCTAAGAAAATCAAGATCTCAAATTTTCTTTAGGACAGTCGTATTTTTTTCTCTTGCATGGAACTTGCTTCGCGTAGATTTTGCTTGTTACAAATCATTATCAAGGAGCCTAAGTAGCACTTATGCCTAAGTAGCACTTATTCTTTGCATTACAGTAAAGCCTTTGCTGTCAAGTTTGTAATTATCATCATAGATTTGTCAAGTGGAGAGAATAAACATCCAGATTAATGAAGGTGAGCATCATTGTGTAGAACTGCTGTAATAGGCGCTATTAGTGACTTACATGCAGCATATGTCAGGTACCCTGTTGATTATATGACAAACTAAATGTCTCCAAAATCAATTTTTGCTGTGATGAATAGGTCAAAGAAAGTGGAAAAATCCGACAAAGCTTCTCGTTCCCTTATTTGCGAAATTTCTAGGGATAGAACAAACTAAAGCACGAGGTCAAGAACGGTTAGTCTTCACAAATGATTAACAGCTGTACAGGGTAGCAGTTAAGGTAACATAGGCATACGAGAAGAGATTTTAAGATGTTATCGACCATCTTGAAGGAATGCATATGCTCATGAGTCTTGCTGGTGCAGTTGGCTCATTGATGGAAGGATCTGGGCTCTCGGAAGTTATGAAAATCACATTTGCTGGAGTTTAGAAGATTTTATTAGGCAAGAAATTCCCATAAAACATCGCAATGAGATTGGTAGTCGAGCAGCTGTTGAGAAATACTCTTGAAATTTGATATAGTGAGAGCATTGACGATCTTTTGGTGCACTTAAGCAATGTGGCAGGGAAAAGGAAAACATCAAAGCTGTTGGTTGATTGCTTCATAAGGCCTGTTTTCATCATTATGTTATACTTGCGAGCATAGGCGTAGACTTGCTTTTTTTTCAGGGGGGTGGGCTCAAAAAATTAATGACAATTCCTAATGGCAGCTGCTGGTGTCACAGGATAGAAAGTGGATTAGCTAAGGGCTTAAAGGTAATTTTTTCGTGCATTTTTCATTATCGAGGAAGAAGAAACACACATGAGATGATGGAAAGTTTATTTTTAAATCATAATCAGTTTCTTTAGATTGAGATCATCAGTTCTATTTAGTCACACAAAATGTTTACCGAGATTCATGCGCTATGGTCATTCTCCTAGAGGTATCATTGGAATCACATTGAAGCCGGAAAGGCTGAAAATTTTGGCTCTCAGCCTTCACATTTGCCCCCGTCTTGAACAGGATATTTCAAACTTCGCTAATGGCGAGAAATAGAGAACCCAAGAGATTCACAAAGAGGAAATTAAATCAAGGATATTATTTGACGGTTCCGATAGAGACAGTATTCGGGACAAGCTTTGGTTATGCATCGATCCACTTGATCATTCATCACATCCAGTTAATATCGTCAATATCGTGAGTGGTAGAACTGTGGGCGATAAAGTCAATGTCCACGATGCAGAAAACATTTGCACAAAGCAAATGAAGGAGTATAAGGAGGGATGGTCCTCTGGATTCTACGACAAGATTTCAAAGCGCATGAAAACTGCAACAGGGAATAGCAAGCATATCGTACTTGGCTTCAAGAAACACTTCAATGATCTGTAACATATTGATTGGAATACAAGCAAGTTGAAGGGAAATCAACATCGAGAATGTATTCAGTCACGAGTTAGCGCTAGTCCCAACGTCAATGTTTGAAGATTCTGGAGCTATGAGACAATGTAAAGCCAAGTCTTATCTGAAAATTCGTCTGGCGAAGGAAGTATCTTCAAGGTGTAGCACATCATCGGTGGCATCGCTTGTTCTTGATGGCTCTGCTTTTTTGTGGGTGATTCATTGGCCAGCTTAAGGCCTCATTTCAGATTTTGTCGGCAATTTTAAGAAATAATATTTGACAGTTATATAGAGTATATAGTACCAAGAGCGTAACAAGATCGGGAAGGGAGCCTGAAGCAAGTAGAGTCTACCAGTTAACTTAGAACACTCCACTCCCATCGCAAAATGCTATGTTTTCTGTAACTGCCAATAATGTTCAGTTAATGTCGATCAATTGCGATAGCATGATCAACGACCAAGTTTTCCATACACACAAGAAAAAATAAGCAAGTCATAACAGGCAGTAATAACGTTCCAACTCAAATCCACAGAGCCCTGGTCATTGCAAGACATGATATAGCAACATCTCATGAAGAAGCAGACAAAATTATTGCACAGCAAGCCATTTTGTGTGCAAAGGAAACATACGACACAGTTTTGGTGCTTGCAGACGACACAGATACTTTATCATTCTCCTCTACCATCATCAGCAGAAAAATATCACTTGCCTGATAATTATGAGTTCCCCAATACAGCAAAGATCTGTTATTGATATAAGGGTCATTGTCAAGCTCCATGAATTAGTAGTTCCCGATTTGTTGGCCGCGCATGCTTTGTCAGGTTGTGATACAGTTCCGACCTACTTTCGCATTGGAAAAGGGACTGTGTTAAAAGTTCTTAAAACGAGTACCTTCTTTTTGTGACATCTTGGTGGCACAAGTGCTCGGCTAAATGAGGCATGTTACAGCAATGTCAGCCTATCTATAGATACAAAATCTGGGCCTCAAGATTCGGAAAAGGTGCTTTAGCGCCAAAGCTTGACACGGCCGCCTTCGACAGAAGCTTTTACCGAGAATGTTAAAATAGCCCACTCCCAGACCTGTATTTGGAAAGCAGCCACGTCCCTTGATCGACCTGCACTTAACCCAGAGGAATATGGCTATATGAAAGACGAATCCATACTGCTACCAACAACAGTACCAGATGGTGTCTCCTTGGCCCCAGAAGATGTGTTAAGGGTAATAAAGTGTACCTGTGCCGGTGACAAACGTGGTAGAACCTAAAGATGCTGTTGCAACCGATCAAAACTGTCATGTACCGTTTTTTGCAATTGCAGTGAAGGAAGTTAATGTCAGAACGAGCATAGCAAACCATAATCTAAAATCAGTCATTCAAGTGTGTTCCAAAAACGTTCTTATCCTATTACTTAAAAGGGTGTTTTCATATGTATACTAACTATTCTGTATACTATGTCCAGATTTTATTGGCTTTGAAGCTACAGCTCCTTAAGAAAAAAATAGCAAAATTGGGCTTATTTCATGGAATACCCGATAGTATTACTCGTGGACTACAAAGTTAGGTCGTTCGTTAAAAGTAATTTCAGTACATTTTTATACTGGTTTCCCCCTTGAAGAACCTTGTTGCTTTGTGCTTTTCATGATTTCCGACAAACAATCTGGTCCGTAAATTAATGATGCGGATCATGTGACATTTTTTTGTTTCTTTCTTCGGAGAAAGGTGAAATATTTATTGCGATAAATTTGAATTGTAAGATATAAGAGGAAACATTAGTTAAGAGTTGTTTATTTATTGCTGTTCCAAAAATTTTTGCAAATTGATATCCAGGTCAGTTTTTACCCGGATATCTTTTGACCCACCTGCGAATTAATGGAAACGCCGAAACCCGGATAACTTCTAACCAACTTGCAGCAACAGCAACGTTTAAGAATTGAGATGGCGCCGAAAATCAAAAAGTAAAATCCTCGATATCGATGTTGCTTTCATTGGCTTTCAACGATGGAAATTGAAGAATTATTGATGCAAATACTGATTTCTCTTACAACTCTGCGTATGTTTCGAATATTTCACCCTGAATACATTTTAACCCGGCTAAGTGGGAACGACCAAAAACGGATTAAAAAACGGGTCGAAGAAAAATGTCATTTCCATTGACTCACTTATCTATATTCAGAAATATTCAGATAAAACAATAAGATTCCCACAAAAAGTCTAGGAGATCTTCAAGTGACTTGCCCCTTGTTAGTGCATACTATGATATGGCCTCCAGACAATTAGTAAGATTTATCCCTATAATTTCACAATATATAATGATTTTTAGTCTTATCGGATGCTATCTTCTTTATCCCATGGTTTATGAAGAAATATGATATTCCTGGAAGAGGAAGGCAGAAAAAGATTGCCAAGTCGGTAGTCCAGGTAGATTACCCATTGTTTTGCCCCTGCTATGACCATCCCTCTTTGGAGCAAACCCCAACACTCATTCCCAGTCTCTCAATTTCAATGGAATGGGACCATAGCGCAAAGTCTAAATTGCTATAGAACTGCCCCAGATGCTCAAATTTCTCTCTTTGTAGCTTTGCGACCTTGGGGGAGAGTCGGGCAAGGTGATCTCGAAAGACACCCTTGATGTAAGTAAGCTTATTCATAAAATTTGATAGAATATCGCTTTTTAACATGCAAAATTACGCAAAGCCGGTCCTAGAGTTTTTGTCCTATCGTTGTTACGGCAATTCAGTAGGCACCTCGCCTTGCTAGCATATCACATTCTCTTTGCTAGCATATCACATCGTCCTTGCTAGCATATCACATCGTAAATTAAGTAACTGGTCTTTATGCTTGCACAGTATAGTATTTCAGTTTACCTGCCTTGCCTTGAGTGTTCTGGTGCTGCCCTTTGGCCAGCAAAGTTTATGTTATCCTAAAAGCAGAAGTTTATCAATTTTGACGCAGTATGTTTCTCGTCTGCGAAGAAAAGTAATTTCAAAATTGTCGACAGTAAAACATGTTGAACAGAAAGTTTCCTTGAACTTTTCTGTTGTTATTTCTTCGCAGTTCTTAAAGTTTATACTGGCAATTTGACAATAGAACTTCTGCACACCAGGAACTACATATACCTTGATGAACCCAACCCCCTGCGTTGTTTGGCCTAGGACTCACTCAAACGTTTGTTAAACTAGGTATCCAGGGCGTCACAATAAGCACTGTCTTCCGGATATGAAATTTCTTGCATCCGATTGTTTCAGCTGCTGCATATAGGAAATTTTCCCCAGCAAAGATGCTCAAAGCAGGTTGCATACAAGACTGCATAATATTGCAAGATCGGAGGCGGACACTTGGTAAAATATTGGGGGGTTGGGCCTGCCTGTTGTTTTTATGATGATATCACAATTCTCATTGCTTTACAACAAAAGACCATTGTCCTCTAAAGTAAATATTTTTTCTAAAATGTCTCTGCACACCTAGTGAAGGGTTTGGCATTGAATATCTGGGCGTGACATGGGTGTGTCCTTTTGCTTAGGGCAAATGAAGAATTAAGTTCCCTCAAGATCAACACAAACTTCCATTGGTTTGATAATAAAATAACTATCAATCATGTACATTTTCTGAATTTGGTTTTCATATTTGCTACTTATTCTATATCCTTAAAATAATCAAAGTGAGGTACACAAAGTGCATACTTTAACCAAACTACAGTCCAGTTGGCACTAAATCTTCTAGTTTAAAAGCCAGGTGGGAGGTAATTAACCCATTACTTTGTTCTTTAAAAGCCTGTGTTACACCATTTTTGTATAAGAATACCTAATTGTTTGCTGAGCCTCAATATTCTTAAATTTCTTGTATGTTTTAGCCTAAGATTATTTTTGAAATATTCTCAAGGTGTAACTGGGTCGCACTATAGTGTTCAGACTCCAAGGCCTCATACATCTTTTTCAAAACATATAGCTTTGATATTCACATTTATTTGGCTTTCCAAAAAAAGAAATAATTGCCATTGGACTATATTCTTATGTGAATAAGTATATACATCTGTGCTGCAGAGGAACTGCTCTGAAATGGAGATATGATTGTATTATTGTTATTACTATATGGCTCCACCACATTTTGCCATGCACTAGCAACAGGGATTAATTTTAAGGGTTTTTTGGACGAGCACAGCTAAGCTAAATGTGATGACAAGTCCGTAATTTTGCATGCCATTCAGACTGACAAGCACCTATTTTGGTGGACAAGGCACATCCATGCCTGTAGGATGCTTGACTAGCAAAATATGACAACACCTACCCAATAATTTTTAATTACATTTTAAGGATTAGGTGGACAAAGATGATTTTTAATCAGTTTTGTTGGGAGACCCCAAAGCTTGCTTGCTTTCTCCCAGTCTCCCAGTTTTTAAGATCTTCCCCCTGCTTCTTTCTTGTCTTTCAGCAGACGTATTCGAATCTTTCGAATGTCAGTAATTGAAACTCATCCTTTTCAGATCTCAGTATGGCTGGACAATACTTAATTGATCTTTATAGATCTGCCAGGGACAGTGGTGGTAAGCATGCTCAATGTTTTTATAGAAATAAAAGATATCTATGGAAAAGTATATTTGTAATATGCATCCTAAGTCCTAGGTACCAGGTCCATAATATGCATCCTAGAATGAAGAAACTTCAATCTATAAGGCTGTGACAATGCATTGGTGCCTTTCATTTGCCTCCATGCAGTATATATATCTTAAAAGTAGCTGATCTCATCAAATCTGCTTTAATGCAAAATATCTAAAATTTGTTTCTAAATCAAGTTGACATGAAGAACCATTTACAAAAAGAAATTTACAGCAGTTCTTATCAGGCACAGGAAAGAACAAAATAAACACTAACTGAATTTCTGTTGCTGCTTGACTGACATGACACTGAAAATATTGTCTTATATTTTGTAGCTTGGTGCCAAAGCAAGCTCACAAATGATACTTGGTATTTTTTTGTTATTTGTGTGATTCAGAGTTTAGTGTTAAATGGTTTGAAAATCTGCCATTGAGAGTGTAATAAGAGTATGACATAATCTTTGTTTGAGATTGATTTTTAGCTTTTAAATCTAGGGCATGAAAATTAGGATGGGTGTTAATGTGTGAACCAGAACTAAGCTTTTTATCATTACAAAGACCAGTTTGTGAGTTAACATTAGTGTTTCCTACTTTTAATCCATCCTTTTTGGTAAATATATTTTTTCTCAACAGATCCTCGGACTGAAAACATGCTGCTTGTAAGAGAGCCATTATATGTTGTTGGCCTTATACTTGCATACTTGTTTATTGTAATCAAAGGACCACAGTGGATGGCAAAACGAGAAGGATTTGAGTTGCGAAAACCATTGATTGTGTACAATTTCTTTCTTGTGGCACTGTCAGGCTGGATGATGTATGAGGTACTGACTTTGCTTTTAAACTCCTTTTTCATTTAATCCATGACACAGATACTGCATCTAATCTATGATTCAAAAATTGGCAAGAAACCATTTTGGTTTCTTTCATTTAGCAAAGTTTGCATAGCTATGAAAAATATCTTATTAATCCAGATCTTTTCAATCATTAATCCAGTTGAAAAAGAAACTGAACAGAACTGACTTGAGAAGACACAATTGTATCATGGAATACATCTAGAGCGTTTCATGAATAACTTTTCAAGAGCTGACATGTGAGCAACAATCTTCTTCCAAATCAGGTTTCAGTTTCATTTCACATAATAGAGTATGTAATATATCAGAAAAATTATAGTCTTCCATTAATAACGAGCTTATTATTTGTCATTTTAGTTTTTTGTGACAACTGTTCTGAATCCCACATTCAACTTTTGGTGTGAGCCAGTCAATCCAAGTGATGTCAGTGATATTCAAATGAGGGTTAGAATTTATAATTATATGTATACTGTTTCTTAGTTAAATTATTTCTTTTACTTATCTGCTGATGTCTGAAAGGTTTAATGAACAACAAATGCGGCTTAGGATAGATGATGTAACTGGGATATATGTTATAATGCAGATTATTTAAAAGCTTTCAAAATTTGTAAACCTAAGACAATCTTTATACTGCACAATTTGCCAAGCAATTATAATGGTCCAAGTCAATTGTCCAACTTCTTACAAAGAAAATATATCATGTGCACCAAATGCACACCCAAATCCAAAACTGCTTGCCAGATCTACTTGGTGCACACAGCAGAAAACCATCCAAACTATGATGGTTAGAATTGCTATTTTGTAACAAAATTTTGGTAAGAATGGTTTTTGAAACAGGGCCATTTAAAGTGAGCCATGGGTTATTCTCCCTTCACAAATCCCTCATAAGCTGAGAGAACTGTGAATCACTCTGCTAAACTAAAGACAAATGGAAAGTTTTTCTCGGAGTTTCATTTGGAGGTTCTGTTGAGAAAAAACTTGAAAAAAGGTGCAAACAAGAAATAGTTTAAATTATACTGCATTGATTTTTCTAAGTTTGCTTGACTTCTAGACCATTTTAAGTATATAATATATAAATATTTGTTCTGGATATAGCTTGCCCAAACAATTGAGGCAAGCAATTCTAAAAGTTCCTCTAAAAGTTCAGTTGATGCTTTTGTGAATGGTTTACATTTTCCATACATTTACCCTCGTCTTCCTTCCAAATTTTCATTCCTGTAGATCTCTCTGCCTTTCTTCAATTTTAAAAGGGAAATGTTATGTTTTCCCATTATTACAAAAATTCCATAATACAAAATGATTTTTTGAATGCTTAGCTCATATTTAACTTATCGTTGTGCTTTGTTTTGTGTTGCATGTTATTTATATATGTAAATTTTCTCTTTTAGCAAATCAGAGTATCATGGGTGTACTTTATTTCAAAAATCATTGAGTTTATGGACACTGTAAGTTTCTTCTCTTTTAGTCACAAACTGTTTATCCTTTCTTACAAATTTGTTATCTAATGCAATTTCATTTTGCTAGCAACCCTTTCTTATATGCATATATATATCTTGACTAAATGCAATTTTCTCATTGCGTTGTTTAAGTCAAACTTATATCGTTTCCTAAAAATTTACTCCTTTCCTCTCTTGCATTTTTGTTTAGCTGCTGATTTCTGAATTCAATTTTGAGTAGGGGACCAGTCCTTAGACTTTCAAGACCTGCTTTCATCTAATAATGCAAGCAGAAATACTCAGAATCATAATATAGATAATTGTTCTCATTTTCCTAAATTTGCTTTAGCAAGGGTATCCTTTAGTGCCTTGAGAGGGCCATACTCAGTCCATGTCTTGTATTTTTCTGGTGTCATGAGTGCGGCTTTCAAAGTTTTAAGGCTTGTTTGGCAGTGAAAAGATCAATGAGTTTCTGGATTTTGCTTTGTTTTAGTAACCTATAAATCTCCTAGAGAAAAGGTTCTTGCACCCAAGCTTGCTTCTCCAAATCTTTGACTTTCTCTATGCATATGCATATACCTCTGATGTAACAAAAGGCTAGATCCACCTGATCCAAGATATTTTCTAGAGGTTTATATATATATATGAATACTCTTTTTCCATTGTAGTTCTTTTTCATCTTGCGAAAGAAGTCTCGTCAGATAACCTTCTTGCATGTATACCATCACACGTCTGTTTTAATGATGCAATGGCTTGTAACAAAACACGTTCCAGGAGCTATTGGTAAGTTTTAATAAAAGTTAAATTTGGTAGTTAGGCTTGTCAAATCAACTCTTAACTAAAGGCCTGTTTACATGGAGGCGAGTTCTGGCTAACAAAATTCCTGGCGTGTAGTGGAAACCAACAGCCGGGAAATTCTGACAGCCAGAATCCAGGCAGATGTAGGCGGGACCTTGTTCAACCAAGTTTCTAGTCCAACTTATGCAAACACAAATTGCCAAGTTTCCCACCTGAATGGTATAAAATGATGCAGCATTTTTTCATCTATCTGGCATTTTTTGTATCTTGAGTTTTCTGCTGTCTTTCTTTTCAGCAAAAAGCCTTTTTAAAAAATATCTTCCCTTGCCTTTCTGTATGCCAAAACAAGAGAGCACAAACTCCTTGCAGATGACAAAAACTGCAGGCTGAAACATAAATCAGTCTCTGTGTGAAGATTTTATAGCTTGTATGTATTTTGCCACATTTTATGCTAGTTTGCAGGTTCTTTATATTGTTTGGTGAAAATATTAAAAGTAAATGACAAAATGTAATCTTAAATGAAGGAAATAACTTAAATTGGAAATCTACAAATTGATGCCATTGCTTATTTTTAACAGCCCATTCTTTTTTTGCCCCCTTTTTGGTTCAGACTTAAGTGAAATAAAGTCCCCCTCTCACCTAAATGAGAAGGCTTTTTTAGTGTTGCATCAAGGAAGCTTTTGTTAACTCATATTTGATTATCACTTTTCCCAAGTTTTCAAACAAGATACAAAATCTAGATTTTTTAAATATCTTCACTTATGTCCTTATACTTCCATTAAACACAAGAAGGTTTCTATAACAGCTCTCTGGCCAAAAACGGTAAACATCAATTTTAAGTGAACACAATTGACTAAACACCTAATAAAGATAGAGTCAACAGAAGTTTTGGGCTTTTATATTACCCACCAGGTGCGTCTCAAGATCAACTGTGACCCACTTGTTGTGGGAATGCTGAATTAATCCTGTCTGTACTAATACATATGTTGATGATATTTTTATATTTCAGGCTGCCTTGCTGGAATGTTGAACTGTTTCATCCACGTTGTAATGTATTCTTATTACATGCTGGCTGCGTTTGGCCCACATATGCAGAAATATTTGTGGTGGAAAAGATACCTCACAAAAATGCAAATTGTAAGCTTACCCACCTGTTTTTTCAACTGTATTATATTGACTTTAATAATAATAATAATAATAATAATAATAATAATGCACTTATAGAGTGCTAAAATCTATATACAAATATTCTAAAGTGCTGAACAGTGTTGAAAAACCTTAATTTACTGAAAGTAAAGCTAGAATTGTCATTCACATGTTAAAATGATTATGAAATAAATATGTTTTAAATCCTGTTTTGAAAGTTTGGACGCTCTGAGATCTTCTAATTTCAACGGGCAGTTTGTTCCAGAGCCTAGGGGCTGCAGTACAAAATGCTCTGTCCCCGCGAGATGCAAATTTTGTCTTTGGAACTAGCAATGCCATAGATTTGTCTGACCTCAGTCTGTATCTATCACTGGTTTGTAGCCTCAAAATTTAGAATGATAAGTTAAAATTATTAGATTAATGAGTTCTATGTTCAATAAGCTATCAAGTCTTCCAGGATTTTACTTTTCTGCTTTGCCCTGCTTGCTTGTTTGTTTATTTATTGATTTGTTTGTTTTTAACTATTTTTGAAAAATGTTTACATATAAATAGTGTATAATTCCATTATCAGCAAATTAAATTTCATTCGATAAGCTATAAGGGATGTTAAGTTTTGGCTTCAACGGCTCTTCAAGGCTATTATTCTCCATTAAGACTTAGGCAGGTCATCTTCCTTGAATAAGTTCTATGATAGATTCTTTGTATCACTTACATTAATGAACAAAAATATAAATTATACATAGAGGACTTGAATATCACTAAAAGTAAGTCTTTCAAGTTTTACAAATCTTCACAAGGCAATCAACGGATGGGTGGCTCGTGGGCTAGAGGACTGCAATCCTCAGATAAATGCCAAACTAGTTATTTAGTCTTTATAGCAAAGTTTTGAATGGGAATAAGCTGGATTAGCCTTTGAAGGATTTGTCATAAAGATTATAAAAATTGAGATGCTTGATAATCAGTTTACTTAGATTTTATGTTTGTTTTAACAGATCCAATTTGTGTTGGTTTTCCTCCATACATCATATGCGATACAGCTCGACTGTGGATTTTCAAAAGGCTTTTTATGGAGTCTGTGGCTCTACATGTTGACCCTCTTCATGCTTTTCTCACACTTCTACAAACAAGCTTACACCGTGAAACCAAAGGACAAGAAAATGGAATAATCCCCACGAACAATTTTTTTAATTTCCATTCTATATGGAACTTTTCTTTTAGTCTTAAAGGGTATGTGTCGTGGACATGATTGGCTAATGCAATACAATTATCTCTTTTGTTTTATACAAAGCATGGAATCGAGGGTGAATTTTTACGGCAGTAAAAATTAATTAAGAAGAAACGAATAGTCACGAAACAATGGAATTCCACTCCAAAGGCTTTTGTTTTATTAGCCAACTGCTAATGCGACATATGCCCTTCAACCTCTGTACAAGTCTACGTTTCCATGTATATGTCTTCGTTGTAATTGTCAATTTGCTGTAATTCTGTTACGGAAGGATTAAAATGGGATAATCAAGGAAGTTGTAATTCAGCTGTGTCTGCGATGAGAAATAAGGGTAAATATAATTTTTTGAAGTGAAATGATCAAACGTTTTAATTTCAATGACAGATTCCATGACCAAATCGCTTTTTATCTGTTATTTCTGCTAAAATGGGGACTTGAGAATTTTTGATGGACAAAGCTATATCGCTCTAGGGAGCGTGATGGGTGTCACACCACTTTTGAAATAATTATTTTGCAAGAACTTTTGATACCTAGGGATGGTTTATCGGCAATTTTTCAAACTTTTCGGCAAAAAAGGATGGCTCGCCCTCTTTGTTTGCGAATAGAACCTGGAAAAAGCCCTTGAGCATAAAAGCTGGCGTGAGCCTTTTTGATAGGGGCTTCAGAGCGTTTCGTTTCATGTCATCATTTTTCCCCCTGTCTAGATTTTGGATTTACAGGTTCAATAGAATTTCTGAGGAATAAGAATAGAATTATTAAGATTAACATCTTTATATGGAAGGGTTTTTCTATCTTCAAGAATTTCTGGCCAATTGCAAAAAGTAATGCTTTTGTTGTTCGTTTCCTAAGACTCAAGTCCATTCATTTGTGTTATCTGTTCAGAAAGTTTACATTTGTGTTACTGCTAAAATTCATCGGAGCAAAGCTCTTGTGAAAGTTACTTCGAACATACCCTGGGTACCAGAGCCACAGAAATCGGGAGAAGAATGGAGGTGAGAGACCGAGGGTACTTCGAACAAAGCAAAGTAGGATCCCTCTTTTTTTCAACCGCCACCGATCCAGATCAGAACCTTTTTATATGTTTCATAATTTTGCCAATTGTCCATAATCCACGAGATACAACAATTTTATTTGGGAGTAGGATGAAGCAAATTGTTGACAGCTTATATGCTCAAAGAAGTTAGAGGTAGCAATTAAAGTAGAGTAACCCTTATGATTTCAAAGCAATAGCCATTTATGCTTTCTAACAATTAAATGTTGTAAGGTCCATCTATTACAAAATACGAATATATTGAAACGACATATATTTTCACTAGCTATATTACGTTTGCTCATGGTTAACTGCATACTTTGGTGCATATACCAGGACTCGATTTTCACGCTTAATGCGATCAACTTGCAAGTATGTTATAAACTGCTACTCAAAATTATTAATAAAGGACAATCTATGCGTACTACCCATCCATGGTATCCTTAACAGGCTTGACTGGTTGGCCCTGTGAAAGGCACTCTGTCCAAACATAGATGGTCCAAATAGGTTGATTGTATGGTCGAACCAATGGGAATCGAAATGGCTATTGATCTGCTTCAGGAAGTGTCTTTGAAACGGGAAGATTAAAAAAGATGTAACGTAATATTTACAAGAAAACCAGCTATTATGTGATGAATTCATAATTTCCAGAATTGAAAAAACTATTTGTAGTGGCACGAGCTTCCCTTGGTTTGCCCTTACTTTTCTATCAATTAATTTCAACCTTGATAAAAAACTTCCATACACAACAAGTCGTAAGCGCAACGACAGAACGTTTGCCCATATAGAGAGAAAAAGATTTGCCCGAGGGGCAATTCACTATTGAGAATAGCGTACGAGATTTTCCCTAAAACAAAAGGATTTCCAGGGATTTTCAGATAAAACAATAGGATTTTCACAAAAGGTGTACGAGATTTTCTTGGAGTGATTTGCCCCTCGGATTCGCCCATGCAGACAAGACGGGTTTTCCTTAACAACTGAGGTTGACACGGATTAGTTGCGCGGTTATAAAGAAAGCTTTCACATATAAAGTCAACAGATTGTAGGTGTCAATGTTTGAACGATATAGTGACAGATTTTAAAAGAAAAACCAAAACTTTTAGTTTGAATTTAACAAAAATCCTTCCTAATTCAATTTACAATGACCTTGAGGGAGCCATGCAAAACAATCATCGCTTTATGCGAAAATTGGAAATTAAATGGAAATTGAATTAATCAACATTTCCCTGCAAACAAGGCTTCGCCACAATGATCAAACTATTTTGTAAAGATTATTTCGTGTGTTTACAAAGTTTTAAATCAAAATATTTTTTTGTCTGTGTCCTCGACCAGTGCCACATGTGAAATAATAAAATTAATTTCCCGCCTTTATTTGCAGAATTCTTTCCCAGTCTCTTCTCAGCTAGTGGCACGATTGTTTCAAAGGTCTTGAAAGCCTTTGTGTACATTGGATCGATATATTGATTCTATTTGAATGCTTACTCAATCGGCGATCAGGCACTCTGATCTGAGTCTGCGGTTCAGCTCATCACGTAAGTGTAGAGATATCTTTTTTTATGATCATTGACTGTTTTTAATAATATTGATGTTAAACCTCTATCGAATAAAAACTGGATCAACATTCTGATGATAACAATTCCTTAAATGTCATGGATCCGTTGTATTCCTGCCTGGGACTGCGGCAGTGCAGCTTTGTCAACCTGGATGGTCAACTCGCTCAATAATCTAGTGATGATTTCAATATCTCTATCGTTGAGATTGCAAACGTTGAGTTTCACGCTGCCAATGGAATTTGTTTACAATGATTTGTTTGACCTACATGCAGAAGATGAGGATAAAATTTGAGAAGTGCGGGCCTCAATTGCCAATTAAAGGTAATCGACGTGCATGATACGTTGCTGCTAAGCAACTTTAGAAGACGGAGGTCGTGTGGAGGGGCATGCAGGGGGGAGGGCTGCTCTCCAATTGAGGGTTCTACTTTTTCATTGCTCGGTTTAATTTAAGAATATATTTTAAGGAATTTCGTAGTCGGTCAAAGTAGAGGGTTTTTGATGCCAGAATGACTTACTTTGTTATTCACGAAGCCGAACAATCGTTTACACTGATGTTTTATTCGTAAATAAGCCCGGAATTAGCGCTCAATTTCTTGATTTTTATTGGAATTAAAAACAAAAATTCTTAGGTAGAGGTTTCTTAGCTACCAAATGCTAATGAAACGAGGGGTGTCTCGCTCTTTCCAAAACAGCGTACAAGATTTTTTAGAACAAAAAATTTTTTAGGGATTTTTGGCGGGTTTTTATCGAAAACAAAAGGATTCTCACCAAAGGTGTACGAGATGTTCGTGAAGTGATACGCCCCTCGACATGAGAAAGAACATCTCGCAAAAAGATTATCTTTTTATTCATATTACAATTAAACAGGAAATAGATGCCTAACCTTCGAAGAGAATCATTTTCATCCCATATTTAGAGGAAGGATTACTATGGTTTCTTACTCTTATAGTCATCTCGAATTTTTTTTGACACCTTATAAAAGCTGTCCAGGTTTCTACCTACGCGAAGGACTAGTTGTAGATGTTTGTTGAAAGCAACACCTTTGTTTCGGACAACCTGTTTCTTTCGATATTTTCTTCCCATTCAATTGGTGCATCTCTTGAAGTGAGGGGTGGAGGATGACATGGCCTCTATTTCAATTTTAGACAAGATCGATTTTCCAATTAATCTCTATACGATGATTTGTTGTTTGGTAAAGAGTTGAATCTGTGTTTTTTTTTCGAGCAACAGCAGATTAGATTTTTACACCGTTTTCTGCGCAACCAGACCAATTTCCTGGCTCCGCCCTGCCCACTGCTCAGAATTCCTTCTATTTCATTTCAAAAGAAAAAATATGACACCATGAAAATCACGAAGCTTTAATTCAATAAATTTTCCTTGAAAATTTGCATTCAGTTGGAGAAAAATTGATCGAATATACATCTCTTATTCCATCCGTACCTCAAAATTCTTGTATCGCTTTTGAAATAATGGCAAAATTGGGTATTGTAGCGACCTGTCCCCTTCATTCTTCAAAGTTATTGATATCAATACAATATATCATATCATGAGGCTTATATACATAATATAATTTTCTGACCCCTCCTCTCGTATTACTCAAAGGTGAATAAATTTGGAAATCTAAGTCGTAAATTGCGTCCAGACTGGCTCAGGGGCCCCGTGGTAGGCGGCGCGCAGACTTGACTGGTTTTCCCAGAGATGAATTTAGTTCCAATCGACTAAATTTCCAGTCAACTAGATTGATCTCTGGGAAAACCAGTCGAGTCTGTGAGCAGGCTACCCTGGGGTGGAACATGAGGTATGAGGTAGAAGACACCTAAAACCTACAGAGGTGTCAAATTTACACGAGGGCCTGCCACTGTTAAAGGTGGCATATTGTTCTTATTTTCTTTTAAACGGAAGCATATCAAAGACTTATCTTACCATTTTTGATCCCATTTATTTTTCGAAAAATGTAACCTGCTAGCTGCAAATATTTACCAAGAGTTTTGAAAATATTTAAAGGCATCCATATAATAAACCGTTGGTATAAAAGCAACAATCCAAAGTATTCTAATTCACGTCGTATTTCGTATTTATCATATTGGATAAGGATAAAAGTGAAGAAGAATGAGTTTATAATCTACACTCTTTTTTATTAGAACAATTTTATAAGAACACGGGCCTCAAATTAATCAGAAGTTCAGAACAAATTACGAACAAGCTGAAGCTGAGCTACTGTAAACTGCAATTTTGAACAACGTTTTATCTCAAAAACGAGGATTTTTAGCCATGTGTGGGTTCTTTTTCAGTCATATTCAAACATGGTGGCTGATGAAGATTGTCTCACGCATATTAAAGGGAATCCAGTCTCAGATTTTCGAAAAAATTCCAGTCAACAATCAGCCTGGACATGAAGTTTACTGGTTCTTGTAAAAATATGTTATGTCTCTATAATGTTTATCCGAGTATGGAGTTTTTTGCCCAAATAACTATCAATATTGATGATCTTTTCACCTGTTGGGAGTTGAAGCCTCCTACCTTGTGCCATTTTGATCATATTGGCAATCATCATTTCATTCAGCTTCACTTGATTCAACCCTATTGTTTAACGATAGCTAGATCACATTTCAAAGCAACTGACAGCCCAGACCAGGCCTATGTATTTTGTGCCAAGTCACCAGCTGTTTTATGAAAAGGTACAAGGAGTCTCACAAATTCAACAAATGGTGATAATCCTGGTAATGCTCTTAGGATTTTAAAATTTCGTAGAGCCTGAAAAAAGTGCCGACACAAAAGGCTCGCATCTTCCTGTGTTTTTCAATGTTCTCTGAATTCTTTCGAGGGGCAATGCACTCTTGCCAATAGCGTACGAGATATTCCCTAAAGCAAAAGGATTTCTGGGGATTTTCAGATAAAACAATAGGATTTTCACAAAAGGTGTACGGGATTTTATTGGAGTGATTTGCCCCTCGAATTCTTTAACGGGCGGACTCCATTTCTTCAAAATTGAGATGAAAATCTGCAGAATATCCCTCTCTCTAAGAAATTTGATTCGGGCTTCTGCCCCATAGAGATTTTGTCGCTACCTAGTCCTCTCTTTGAATGGCTTTTAACAATATCAACGAAAGGTTGTGCAAAATAGCAGCTTTGACTTAGTTTGACTCTCTTCTCTCCTCCTCCGCACGCTCCCGCAATGCCCTATTTCCTCAATGCCCCACTTGTTTTGACGCTTGACGCTCTGGAACCCAGGGAAGTGGATTCTCTGCTAGAACTGTTTCTTTTACAGAAGCATTTAGGCCTGGTTCAAACGTCGCGCTTCTCATGTGCCGAACCTAACTCGAGAATTAAGTACATGAGGGGCGCGACGTTTGAATCAATTTGGTACGGCAAATTTAGTTAGGAGCGGCAGACTAGTTTGGATCGGCAGAGCTTGCCGAGCTGCACGGCTCCAGCACGGCACGGTTTCAAACGTCGAACTTGTCATGTACCGAACTCAATGCAAAATTATATTTAATTTATTTTCCTTCACAGAATTCATTTCTTTCTTGGAGGGCGCATGCGTTTCAAACAAATATTTGAGATTGTGCGCCTTAACCAAGATACTTTATGTAACAATCCTAAAACCCATTTGGCGCGACATGATTAAGTTCGATGTTTGAAACGGGAGTCGCGCTTAACATGCTCAAGTGTCGCTCCAAACAGAGTTAGGTTCGGCACATGAGAAGTGCGACGTTTGAACCAGGCCTTAGCTGTCCTCTAAGACAGGGCCTCTGAAGCATTTCTTTGTCACCGTTACTTTGTCGTCACGCCCTCTTCACGGTATAGGCCGGTTTCCACTTGATTCGCTCTGGTCGCGCGACTAAGCGAATTCATATTGGAGCGTGCGTAAATCGAACTTTCTCATTTGCTGCGGATGCGCTTTCGCGCTACTGTTGTGATTTGAAAGGAAGGGAAAACAATCTTCAGGCACATATAAACAAAAACCACCTTGGCAGGGAATTTAAGTGGAAGATTATTCTGGTTGACCAACAGGGTTTACTGCTATTCGTCTCGTCTCAAGCTACTACTGCTAGGCCCATAACAGAAGTTGCATCTCGAGGGCATTTGTCAAATGAAGAAACTGCTGGGTCCTCACAAGATAGATTACTAGAGCCAACACAGAAAAGACAATTTGGGGACAGTGGTGATGTTACCTTGGCTGAGACTTGTACAGAGAATTTCCCGTTTGATGCAAATAATTTTAATCTTGCTAACGGAATATCTTGATTAAGATATAAGTAAAATGGTTGTTCTACTTGTTCAATTTCTTGTAACGTATAGATTCATCACTATTTAGGATTGTAATTTTTGTGTGCTTGGTCTCAATCACAAAGTAGTTTACACAATGCGAGGACCGAAAAAAATAGGAAGGTTTTTAAACCAAACTTGAGGTCGCAGGAAGGTTTGATAGTTTTTTTAACTCTGGTGGAAACACTTTTGGTACAAAAACATTTTCAATTAAGTTAATTGTTTCTTCTTGGGTCCTCTCAACATTATGATTGAGTTGATGGCCCTGCAGGAAGAAATAATATTATTCCTTTAATACGCTTTCCGGGCAACAAACAAACCGCTAATTCTCGTCTCTTAAGGATTTGTACTCCATTAAGGGTCTTCTTGAATATGCTGTTATCAATAATGACATCACGTCGTTATATTCATGGAATTACGTTTTTAGATTAAGCCTTTAATAACAGGAACAGCATTTATTTGTTTGGATACATTTTTCCAGGATAAAATCAGCTTGATTTTTCGTATTACGTTTAGAATTAAATTCCTTCTTGTTTGTTTTTGCAGCCAGTCATTGCGCGAAGGCCTTGCATTCAGGATGGCTGTTCAGTGGCTTGTCGATCTGTACACTACAATAAAAGAACATGGAGGTTTCATTTTGATTTAACGTATTTTAGGGTTACAACCTTTTATCTAGTGCAAATTGTCAAGAAGCTCTATCTCTAAGATTAAATATTTCTTTTATGACTATAGCTGATAGATGATGATTTTCTCCACACATCAAAACACTTCATGCTAATTATTGCAAGGAAAGCCTTTATTAATTACGCATATTTGTTCCAGAAACCCTTTAAAATTTGTAATATCAATTCAGTTTGTTTTTCCTTATATGTACTTGACTGAAACGATAACTTCTTACCCTACAAAGGTCTAGAAGCAAATCTTGCTACAGGTTTGCATGTCACTCACTGGATTCAGATTCTCAGATTTCTCCCACAGCTCCAAACGTTTAATCTGACTTCGAAAAATCAAATATCAATTAATCTTTAGGAACAATTAATTTTGATATTAACCTATGTAGTTCTGTATATATTGAGTTGAAAATGCTTTGATTAGTATTCTAGGGGTTTTTCTAGGTATAACCGCCATGTTTTGCCTTTCTTAGGAATGCATTTAAGTTCATTTTACAAGGATCCCAAATTTGAAAATCCTTGACAACTGTTTTTTTTCTGATAGACCCTCGAACAGAAAACTTGCTGCTTGTCAAAGAGCCGTTATACATCATTGGGCTGATAGTTGCATACCTGTTTATCGTTATCAAAGGGCCACAATGGATGGCTAAACGAGAAGGATTTGAGTTGCGAAAAGCATTAATTGTATACAATTTCTTTCTTGTTGCACTTTCGGGATGGATGACGTATGAGGTAAGAAATTCCACGACTATCAAATACAAACTATACTTTAGGAATAACATAGCAAACTGGATTCTATTGTGTATCGGTAGCTCTCTTCACCGTCTCACATAGACGTGACATCAGACAAATTTATCAAATATCAGGCATAACAAGGAAATTTTGTCTCAATGAAGCAACAATATTCGGGCAAAATACTAAGCTCCTTGAACGTTTAGCTCCAACGCCCATGCAGTTTTCATAGAGATTTGCTTTGTTTCTTTTGTTTCCAAATAATGGATGTTCAGGTTGCATTGTCCTACGCACTAGTGGCATTGTCTGCTAGCACCATATATGGAAGAAGCATTGGTGCAACAGTGATCTGGATTTTTTGGACACAAAATACCGCCAGCATATTTATTTGTAACCCGGAACCAATTGTTAAGCCGACCTGTACCGAAAGTATATGTCGACCGTTTATTGTTCTGCTCAATCCAGGCCAATGTGTTTACAATACCGAGCGATGTGCCTGGTATTTTTAACGTCCTGTCCTATCTACTACGTCGTTTTCTAGTAGAAATTTATAACACGTGGAGATCTGGAAGGCTGAACCTGGCCCTATGATAACTCACGTTAAAGTTAATATATTTTTGGCAAGGATTGTGTGCATACCTATAATAATCAAAGCCTCGATTCGACAGGTGAATCAACTGTGTGATTAGTATTTGTTTTGTATTTCTAGTTTTTTGTAACAACTGTCGTCAATCCAGAAACAGATGTTTGGTGTGAGCCTTTGAATCCAGTGGATACGTCTCACTTACGGCAAAGGGTAGATATAGAAACGAGCAAACTTAACCTATCTTTAGATTTTACATCAGAAAACTTTTAATATACAAAATGCAGGATCTTATACTGAGGGCCTTCTAGTATGCGTATGTCAGAGTCAGTGTTTGTGAAGCAGCGTGCAAGCCTCGTTCATAAGTGGCTGCGCAGGAGACAAAACCTAACAAAACAGGCGGCAAAACAAAACTTTCGCCAGCTCACCATCCCTGGTTTAGACATAAACGATTTGGATTCAAATTTGACTACTTTTCAACATAGAACAATTGCTATTTATGTTTAGACAAAATTGATCAGTAGTTTTTCTTTTCCTTGGATGAATGCCGTTTATTCTTTGTTTGCCTAATATTCCCTTTTATGTCAGTGCTCAATGGCAATGTTCCTCTACCTCAAATATTGCACACCTAAATATGCCTATCACGATCTTATTTGTCATCTGTCGTATCACAAGTTATTAGCTGTGCTTTGTTTTTCAGCAATTCTACGTTCTATGGTGCTATTTCTTTTCCAAAATCATCGAGTTTATGGATACTGTAAGTTGCTGGAATTATTCTGTCATCATTGCAAGTTACAAATATTGCATGGTAATTGTGTTGGCGATGGGCCATTTCGGCCTACAAGCCTTATATAAAAAAAAAACAAATGCAAACGTGCTTTCTGTTTGCAGAGAAATTGCTGGATTACTATTCGTGTGCAGTTCAACCACATGTAATAATATAGATCCATTGCGAGGCTGTTCGATAATAGCTGTCATACCACTGTTTGGCTACCTCAATTATTGGCAGTATCAATCGTAGCTCAACCTTAGTTCAACCTTTAATATGTTTTGATAATGCCGCTGAACTGTTCTTTTTAATGTTTAATACCGGATTGTGTGGGCCAGTGGACCGCTTATTTAATAAATTCATATTTCATATCTTCAGATTAAGCCGCTTGTTCAGCTTGTTCAGCCATTCTCTTCTTGGAACTTCCTTTTAGCACCGCCCTTGTAGCTTTATTGGAAGAATTTGCTGGATTTAGGGAGAAAAATTTAGTCTACTTGCAAAATGCAGTATAAAGAAAATAAATTTTGCAAGGAAATGTCTTATGTTGAGAGTAGCTATGCAGGTCATATTTTTCATTATATTAAAAGAAGCTAATATTGCTAAAATGTTGGTTGGTCGCCGTACCCTGCCTTTATCGACTACGGCCCTTCTCATTTTAGCCCCTCTGCTACCCTGATTTGGTTTTTCAGGCGCTTCATGTTCTGTAACTTATGAATTAGCAGCCCCTTTTCTTTACACTCCACTTTAAGACTTCCCCATTTTAAAATTGCTCTCTTTCTCTATGGCACTAAATTACGGACTGTTCATGCATTGCTCTTGAAGTTCAATTGACTTTGAAATTTCACTGTCTACATTTTCACTCTTACTTTTTCAGTTCTTCTTCATCCTGAGAAAGAAAAATCGTCAAATAACATTTTTGCATGTGTACCATCATAGTACAATTCTTCTACTAGAATGGATCTGCATAAAATATGTCCCTGGATCACAGTGTAAGGAAATGTTTAAATGTTTTCACTTTTAATAGAAGATTTTGATAAGTTTCAAAATTTAGCATAGCTGAAGAAATTTAGCTGTTCCTAACAACGAATGGAAAAGTGTTGCTCTGAAGCATGTGTCAAACTCAAGACCGGCGGGCCACATCCGGCCTGGCGTGTCATTATATCCGCCTCGTGAGACCATTTCATATTACTGTGTTTATATAGCTTGTTCAACAAATGTTTATTTATCCTGTTTAGCTCGCGACCTGAAATGTGTTTTTGATCCCCCCCCCCCTGTCCAATTGAGATCGACACCCCTGCTCTAAAGTAACAGCAATGCTACCCGATGAGGACATCAGCCTCGGTGAATTCGGACGGCAATTATGATTCATGTAGCAATAACAGGGAAATTTTCCTATCAGTTCTACAAAAATACGCCTTTTTGCAGCTTTTCAGTGCCACCCAATACGAAGTTAGTTCGTAGAATGCTGTTTTTCTCCCGTTAATAATTAAATATATGACCCAGCACTGTAATATATTCTTTCCATATTCAAAGGAATTTGATAGATCGCAGCTTTTATAAGTCGGGAGGAAATTGCTACAAAACCAATGCCCTTTGCAATAAACCGTAAAATGGTGCCGAAACTTACAAGAACCGATTTCTCATTGATACCAAATTTGAGTATACCTTCTTTCTTGTTTTCGTATTTTATAGTAGATACGCTCAAAAATCAGCCCTTGTTGGAATACTTCGCGATTAATACGTAAAATTGATAGTTTCAAAGACTTCGTCTGTCAGTCATAATGGATAAACAGAAATTAAGAAAAACTTGTTTTAGCACAAACCAAAATCAGTAACAAATTTATGATGGTATTATATTACTCATATTTTGCCTTGATAAACACAACCTCAAATTTTGCAATTATTTCTTCATGTAGCTCTTAGCTTGCACTATGCCTTCACTGTGAAAAAAGATTCTTCTGAAAAAAGTATTGAATGTAGAAGATACTGTACCCGAAAACTATGCCTTATATACTTAGATACTGTAGAATCCGTATCAATGTGCTTATGTTTTTCTTTGCACAGCTAGCCTACCTGCCATGATAAACTCCTTCATCCATGTACTAATGTATGCGTACTACATGCTGTCTGCATTTGGACCCAGGATTCAGAAGTATTTATGGTGGAAACGATACCTGACCAAGATGCAAATTGTGAGTTATCTTTACACCCAACAACACTAACATGCTGTAGTTCTTACATAACCAATCGGAGATCGTGTATCACAATATCGATACAGAGACGAGTAGGTGGATTTTGAAGCCACTTTGCCATGACAAACTTTCGTAACCATCTAAATTCTATCTTGTGAATAACAATAGGTATTGTTAAACATTACAATCACCGCCCGTTTAGACCCTGAACGCACTGATTTCTGACATAAAACTCATTATCTTTGTCAAAGTGGAAAATCGAGAAAACTTTTTCAAGTTTGACAAAGAGAATCCGATTTCCGCTTGGGAATTCGAGCGCTCAACAGTTGGTGTGTAAAATGGTTGTTTGCTGTTTGGTTAATGTGAAGAGGTTTAAAACAAAGAACGATTTGATCTTGGGTATTCTGTGATACCAAATAATTGCGTTAATTGCTAATTATTCCAGAGTTCATCCTGCTCTGGGGCAGGACGACGGAACCTTTAAGGATTAGTGAATTTGGTTCAGTGGCAATTCGGGTGGCCGCACTGGAAAACCAGCATTTGTTTACTAACAAGCTTAATCCCTTTTCTCTATGAACAATAGAGATTAAGTGTGACAGAAGTTTTTCCTGAAAACTTGTTTGGTGCGTCTAGGGCCTACAGGGCTTAACAATATCATTTTGCAGAGAACAAAAAACAAGAAAGGCACTTTTTTGGCCGTGCTGTGGATGACAGAGTTGGATTGTGGGTACAAAAGTTGCCGTCAGTCCATTCCTTTGCTGACTCGTGGTATTCCAAGCCCGTTTTCTACTTTCCTATGTATAAAGTAGCCCGGTTAAATACCGGGTATATAAAATTTAGGCCCAAATCTTTCCATTCTTATTTTCGAAACATTGGTTGATGATCTAAGTCAAATATAGTTGCCAACGTCACACTGCTTGTCCCGAAAAATCCAAAAATCGATAGTTCCCGTAAGTGCTCATATGTACCTTATTTATTTTACATTTCAGATTCAATTCCTGGCTGTCTTTCTCCACACATCATATGCTATAAAGCTTGAATGCGGTTTTCCGAAAGGATTCCTATGGCTTCTCTGGTCCTACATGCTGTCGCTTTTTATGCTGTTCTCTCATTTCTATAAACAAGCATTTACTAGTAAAGCCAAAGAAAAGAAAGACGATTAGATGCTGCACAGAAGCAAAATGGCGTATGATAAGTAACCCATTGTCTGTAAGATGGTTTTTGTAATTCGTTAAAAGATCTTGTTTTGTATACGTCACATTTTTTTGTGTTGGTCTTGTTTTCTAACAATAGCTTTTCTGTAGGAGAATTTTCAGGGGCAGACAGGTTCTAGCATAAGAACCTGTCAGTTACATTGAGATTAAGCCACGAGAACTTAAATTTGATTTGAAATTTTATTGCAGGTATTACAATAGATTCGGATGGATTAACTGCAAACAACATTTGATACCCACAAAATGACTCCTCGCCTCATTTTGTGTCCTCATTTCAATTTGTGTCCCTTTTAGTCAGATCAAAGAAACTTAAATAATTGATTCAAAATTGTTACACTGGTCTCTTTCACACGGTGAACTATAGAGAGACATGACTGGCCTCATCATCGTTACACTGAGATAACGAAATAGAGATATCTGAATAGATTGATTATCTTCTCTCAACCATGATAGCAGTAAAACGTTTTTTAGCATCAATATTATGTCATTGTCATATTTAATATGGTGAAAATAAAGAAAGACATGGCTGGAGCCCATTATCGCTACACTGAACTAATGAAATAGAGATATCTGAATAAATTGTCTATTCTCGCTCCATCGTGATAGCAGTTAAACGTTTTTTAACATCTGTTTCATTTTTTAATATTGTGTCACTGTCATATTTCATATGGTGAAGATACAGAGAAACAGGACTAGAGTCCGTTTTTGCTGCACTTCAGGTTACGGTAAACGTTTCTGACACGATATTTGGTTTGTTCTCCCTACAAGCAAAACTATAAACGGAATCAGATTAAACTATGCGTCATTCGATGCACAAGAATGTGGTGATTCCAATCATATCAAAATGATTGGCAAATATTGTAAAATGATACTTTCCAGGCAAATTTATTGCTTAAATGAGTGTACCACCTTCAAAAGCTATTTTGTACCCTTGCGTTTTAGGTATCAAAATCTAACTTATATCAGCAGAAAGCGCAGACCCTAAGCTACCAAAGTGTGTCTCAAATTTTTAATTTCCTCCTCCCCTTGAAACTATACCCTGTCGAAATTTGGCAAATAATTGTTCTTCCTCTCATAGCTGTATTTGGCTATAAAAAACCGACCAGAGCAAATACACGATTCGCGATTTGAGACACGATTCGCTTACCCGACATCTGTCCTGGAGGTGTGCAAATTTTTGAGCCATTCCATTGGTTCCTTGGGTACAAAAAAGCTTTTTTGTATCTGCATGTAGAGGAATTGTAAGTCCGTAGAAAACGGGATTTTACTGATCGCCCTTGCAAGGTACACTTTGCAAGGTACACTCGTAAACCACAGTGTAGTCCTGGTCAAATCACCAATAAGCCTGTTCAAATAGACAGCCGTACCTGGGATAGATGGATGTGCCATGTGATATTGTAAATGAGACACGCGACAACAAAGGCAAAGCAACGATTATCGGCTTAACAGGTCAAGAGTTTTTCAGAACTCAACTAAAAGTTTTGATAAAGAAATTATGAAAACCTTCGTTTACATGGGATTTTTTCTATTTTCAAAATTTCTGTATCTTTCAAATTTGGTATCATTATGTGCCTTGAAAGTTCGGCTACTTGAATGTGAAAAAATCGAAAAATCGATGTTTTCATCAAGAAAACGTTTACCGTAACCTTAAGATAGATATATCTGAAAAAAATTGATTATTGTCTCTACAACATGATAGCATGCAAACTATTTTTTAGCAACAAATGTTTTCACTAATATATTGATACGGTAAATATCGAGAGAAACTTAACAGGAGTTTATTTTTGCTACATATCATAAAATAACTTTTAACTTCTAACTGCTTGCATGAAGGTAAACAAATTTAGTTTTATATTTTTTCATTCCAAGCTACATGTCGAGCTTAAATAGATCAAATCATTTCAAAACTATAAAGTTATTAGAAAGATTAATTCAAAAATTAACTGGTGTTTGATAAGGTCGGCTCTCTTCAGTTAAGACTTTGTCGTATCTTTTATGATGAAAAATATACTGGTACTTTTCAATAAGTGGTCTTCAAACAGTTTATATAAAATCTGCTAGAAGATCTAACGGTCTTGGGAAATCTTGATCTTGTGATTCAACCGCCATTGTTTGCTAGTTTTCTTCCTCTGAAAATTAATAGTAGTGGCATGTAAATGATTTAAAGATAATTAGAAAAAAATCCAAAATGTTTTCTGCCGATTTTGAAGAATCTCTTCCATCGACCTTTTAAAAATGCATCTGGATAAGGATTTTTTTATGAAAAACACATATCTTTTTATAAATAAGGCAAAATGCGATGATATGACAAAGTGTGTATATTTTAAGATTGAAGTAAGAGGTATATGAGTCACTTTCGTTGCATATGACATCCGTTTAAAAAAGAGTTACGCGTGGTACATGAATTTTTAGTGAAGCCTACTTACGTTTTCTACTATAAGTGATGAGAATATGGTTTAAGTGACGGAGAAACAAGGAGGCAACTGTTGTCAAATTAGTTAAGGTAAAATAAAAAGATAAAAAGAGGAACGAAATGAAAAATAATTTGGGATTTTAAACAAGTAAGAATAAATAATGAAAGTAGATATTTTCAATACAATAGAAACAACGGTTTACAAAAATTTGTGCATTAAGCATTTATTACAAATATCAATCAAGCGTTGGCACATCATTGGTCAGCAATGATGATTCGTGTATTGTTTTGTAAATTAAACTCACCATCTGATTCCGACTCTTCTTCACTTTCTGTTTCCTCTTCGCTTTCTGTCGCTTCTTCACTTGCCGTTGATTCTTCAATTTCACTTTCTGTTTCTTCGCCCTTGCTTTCTTCACCTTCTGATTCTGATATTTCCTCGTTTTCTTGATCTTCATCAGTTTCTTCTTCACTTGTAGCTGGATCTTCATCTTGCGAATCACTTACATATTCAGATACATCTTCTTCGGATTCCTCTTCTGATTCGTGTGTCTCATATTCACTCTCGTCTTTTTCTTCACTTTCCTCTTCAGTCTCATCACCATCTTCTCCCTCTTCACTTTCCTCCTCTTCTTCACTTTCTGTTTCATATTCTGTGCTACCGGATTCCAAGCCTTCATCCATTAGCTCCTCGGAACTACTGGCATCATCTTCACTTCCACTTACTTCATCAACGTCATCACTCGAATCATCTTCGGAATCAGTAGTATCATCATCACTGAATTTAAAGGGCTTCCGTAGATTCTCCAAAGCTTTCAATCTTTCTTGTTCCAGCTGTTCCCGTTTCCTTGCTGCTTCCTTTGTCTCTATTTTTCTTCTTAGCAAACGACCAATCAAACTTTTTTTCTTATCCAAGTCTTCAATAATTTCCCCGCCATCGTCAACACCAGCTGTATCTGTTTTTGACCCAGAATTTTGCCTCTGTTTATTTCTGTTTGTTCTTTCGGTCATTGGTTTCATTGTAATTTTGTTTCCTAGCGTATCCCTTTCTCGAAGAATTTTTCTTGTATCTTTCTCCTTGTCATTGTTAACATTTTTTGTTTTGCACTTTTGTCTTTCACTGAAATTCTTTCCGCTAGATTTATCTTTTAACTTAGTATTCACAGTATGCATTTCGTTTTTCCTACTGTCTGTTTTATCTACAGCAGTCTTTTGTTTATTTTTGTTACTGATCGCAGTACTTCTTTTTGCCCTCTCTTTATAATCAAAATCCTTTTCTTTCTTCATTTCAGAGCATCTGACTATATTGTGCTTATTCTCTTTTTCATCAATATTACTTTTGTTATGAAAATTTCTTGCATCATTTTCCGCTTTGTTACTTGCTTTAAATTTCAAATCTTTTTCAATTGCTTCTCTCTTTTTTGCCTCTTTCTTTTTCCTTATCAAATTTGATAACAATTTCGTCTTTGTCTCTTCATCACTTATATCATTTTCTTTAACATTTTCTTTTACTTTATCTTGTTTTATCTCATAACTCATCCGGGCTTCCTTTTTCTTTCTTATGAGTTTCGATATAAGATTCGTCTTTCTTTCTTCATCACTAACTACTAAATCGCTGTCTTTTTCTTTCTGTTTCATAGTGTTTGTCGCGTCTTTTTCTTGTCGTTGAATTTTCATTGATTCCTTTTTTTTCCTTATTAACTTCGTCAAAAGTGTTTTCTTCGTCTCTTCATCGCTAATAATTTCTTCTTCTACCTGCTCTTTTCTCACTTTCTCGTCCTTTTCAGACTTCTCTTGCAATTTTTTTTTCTCAAGTTTCTTTTGTATTAATTTGCCTATCAATGATTTCTTCTTTTCTTCATCACTGATGACCTCATTTTCATCTTCTTCTTTTATCGCCAAATTTTCTTTTCCTTTCTTACGATCCTTGTCCATATATCTTTCATGTTGGTCAGAGCGTCGTCTTCTACCTGAATCATGTTTTTTTTTTGTTTTTCTTGGATCGTTACCAATTCTATCCACATTAACGAAGACATTTTGTTGTTTTGAGCCTTCAGACCTTTTCTCAACAGTTGCAGCCATTTTCAGTTCTAGCTCTTCAGTCCTCTTGCCTTTCTCTTTTGACTTCTTATTACTTTTTGAATCGTTATTTCCAACATTCGCAAACTTGTCTTTTTCGCTTATTTGCTTTTTGCTTTTTATTTTCGATGTTTTTATTGCCCTTTTATTTGTACTTTCTTTATCAACATCTTTTGAAGACCTTTTATGCTTAATCTTCCTTGATTTAACACCACCAGCTCCCATCTTGTCAGTTGTCTTGCTTTCCCATGCGATAGTTATATTCCCGTGCCTACGGATCTTTTGCACAGTTATCTTAGATTCTGGTATGCTCACCACCTCGGGTATAAAATAGAGATCATTATGATCGTGGCTCGGGAGGTATCTTTCAGCCCAGTCTAACGAATAGGCTTTTTGCATTCTCCACTTGTGTCCAGCATGGGCTTTTCCATCATCAAGCTCCGTTGTATTGGCAGGGTTTGCAGCTCCCGCAAAAAATCCACTGGAAGGATTAACACGCATCGATAAAGATCGAGTTAAGGAAGATTTTCTTCCTACACCCTGCAAATGACTGGAATCATTTGTGACTGAACTCTTTGCTTTCGCATCTTTGCAAATTCCCATAAAAAGGTCTCTTGCATCTTGGTCTTTGTCAATGTTTTGCGAAGTCTCGCCTCTCCTATCCTGATTCTCACCCATCCTGTTGTACGTATCCGCTGATTCACTCCATATTCCCGACTCAAGTTTTTGCATTGTCAAGGTACTTCCATCTTTCTTCCTTTCTGTTCCATATTCAGCATCCTCATTGTTAGATATTTCTCCCATTGATCTCCCATAGTAACCATCATCACCATTTGAATTTTCTGGGTCAGCTTCAAACTTTTCTTGCACTTCTTCATCTTTGAATTCCTCAACAACAATCGCTGGTGACATGCTATCACGTGGCCTACTTTTTGAAACTTTATTGTCTCCCAGGTTTGATTGCTCATCTGCTTTTACATGGTACCAAAACCCTCTATTTTTGAAAGAACCTTCTTGCGTATGAGCTTTACTCTCATACTCATTCGACACTCTGTTCATTCTATGTGAATTTTTCTCATTTGTTTCATCTACTCTAGCTGTATAGTTTGCATTTTTATTTCTAGGAATTGATCTATGAAGATCACTGTCATATACTTCCTCCTGCTTTCCGTTTTTTTGCACAATGCCTTCTTTATCTTCCGAACCCTCTCTTTCATCAGCGCGATGTAAATTTCTACTCCTGTCTTTATTGGTTCCATCTACGTTATCACCAATTTCAACAGGAATATTTTCAGAGCTTAGATTGACACTCATTGAATCAGTTTTAAAGTCTGCTTTGAGCTTTGGCAAATTCTGATCGTACATGATATCACAAAACTCCTCGTACCCAGGTGACAAGTTCGGCGTATCAAGCATTCCAAGATCGTCACAGTTCTCCGAATCACACAAAAGATCTTCAGGGGAAGTTGATCCACTTTTGAAACCTCCTGAATCGATAAGCTCATAATGAAGACTCTTTTTATATACAGGATGCCTTACTGGTCTTCTACTTACTAACCTTTCATCTATTATGCTGTCATCCTCTGAGAAGTCAAATGCTCCAGCACGACTTTCAGTATTTCTTCGCCCAACCTCTTTCAGCGACCGTCTCCTACTTTCGCGTTTCTGCACTAGCCTCGGTGACCTTACCTCCGTTCTTGCATTTAGTGCACCAAGGTGATAATCATCGAGCATGTCCTTTTCCAGGTGTGCTGGTGGATAATTTCTTGGGGTTTTTCGACCGCGATTTCTTCTATCTGGTTTTGCAATTGCTCTTCTTTCATCTTCCTCAAATGGTGTATTAACTTCCAAAGGCTGCTCTCCATATCGTCCAAAAACAATATCTTTTTCAAAATCATCAACAATGATACCTTCATTAACTCGACTTCTAGGCCTAGACGAGTCATCATCATGATAATGACTCTGGGCCCTTGATCCTGACAACGGGCGCCTTCTTTTATCTACTTTTGAATATTCTTGTAAATATCTTTCTCTTTTCCCCTCACTCCTAACGGCCTTTCTTGGTACTCTCGGGGATAAATTATAGCTCTGATAGATATTATCATACGACAGATCGTCATAATAGTCTGCCTCAATATCTAAAAGCGAGTATTTTGCACCGCGCGGTACCCGCGAAGGACGATTCACAACAGGCGGTGTAAGGCTTTTGGTATAATCTCTGTCGCGCAGTCGACCTCTGATATCAGACGGTCTGACTAAAGGCCTTTCTATGACACACGGCGAGTCATTACGAGCCGGCCTAAAAGAGTCACTAATGTCGGATAAAGCGCTTTCCTCGTCCGTTGACCTTTCAAAATCATCCATTCTCCGCCGTATATTTCTGTTGCGTTTCACTTCTTCTTGAATCAAAGCTTCTTGTCTGCTAGAGCCTCGGTGCCTGTATCGATATTTTGTTTCTGCTTTGGAAGCGCGCCTTGAAGTCCATTCAAATTCTCTTTCATTTTGTGGACATGCACCCTTTTTCTGTACAATGTAATTCTCACTTGGAATAGTATCAGTTTTCTTAGAGTCTCTTCCTTTAAACTGCTCCCGCGAAACAGTCTTCTTAGACCTTCTTCTTCCGTTTCTTGCGTTTGCATTGTCCAGTCTGTTTTTGTTGCCGGTTATTCCTTCAATTTGTTTGCCCGTTCTTTTCATTGTCTATTATTCAAATACAAAATATCATCAATAATTTTATCTGTTTATTCTTTACTGACAGGTGCTACATAGAGGCAAGACGTTTGTATACATTTCATGACATTGTTAATTCTATAGCAACGTCCATTTTAAATGAGAACCTTCAGCACCCGTTAATTCCTTCGACCTCGATTGCACCAGAGGACCTCTCTTTCAATTGTTTTTATTCTAAGTTGACATCCAAGGTCATCTGTCCCGAGAATAGATCTTGCGTTTTTAAGATATAACAGAGCTCCGCCATAAAGCTTTGAAATGCAATTTCAGCGTCCACAAGAACTTTTGAATTCTTTAGTTTGGTGTTTTTGACTTGTGGTTTGATAATAAAATGAGGGCCATCTGTCATTTCCTAAATCAAATTAGCTTTTGTTAAACGACTTTAAATAAATTATTTTCTTGCAAGAATATAAAGCAAAAACAGAGATGACTGTCGAATGTCTGCAGCTAGAAAACTTTTGCAAATTTAGAAGAACGTTGTAAGAATATATAATGAAATTCATAATGTTGCATTAACTAGGAATCAGCCAAAATAAATTAACAAATTTGATCATTCCAGTGACCAGTCCAATTAAGGGTTAATGAATATAATAGACCATTAAGAACTTCGGCTATAATCCTCAATTTCAAATTCTGCTTTTCAGGATGAAGAACAGAATTTTGCTTGTTTTAAAAGTAAGAAGATTCCCCATCGTTTTGATGCTAACTCTGTAATAAGATTTTTGAAAGTTTACATCACTTTGAAGTTTACTAATTCGCATTCTTTAATAAATGTTAATGCCTTGTAGAATTTCAAAATCGCTTGATATGGAACTAAAAATGCACAGCATCTAATTTTCATTTCCTTGTAGCTTAAATGTAATTTAAGTATGCCAACATTAAGCGATTAAAATGAAAGTAGAGCATCAATGGAAAAGATAATTGACATTATTCTAATCAATAACTGTTGCTAAACTTTTGGCTGTTAAGGAATTCACACAAGAAAATTAAAAGGCGAGTGTAGAAAAATATGTTTTTACATTAGCAATAGTATAATTACGCTTTGTTTTCCTTGGGAAATTATAAGATGAATACAAGGCCTGTGTATTCTATTAACTAAATGGCACCATTGGAACATTTCTTTGGCAAATAATATCGACCCCCGTCTTTCTGTTTGCAAGTCAATTGATATGTGTTAATATAAAAGATTTTCTCTTGTGTGTGGTACAGGACACAAATGTGTTAATATATAATATATGGTTATCAATACTTGATATAACTTTTTGACTTTGCTGTTGTTGTCCTCATATTTAGAAGATGCCCTCTACCTTGCCCTCTATTAATTTTCGTGAAGCTGCAAAATTCAAAACCAAATGAAGAGCCAAACGAAAACATATATACATATATATGCGGTATTGAATCTTTCACCTATATATAAACACATGTTATATACATAATCAAGCTGTATTTCCGAATTCGGCTTCTCAAAATGAATATTTAAAAAAAAACAGTAACTTATAACTCAGTTTTTTCCATCAGTTATAATTAGTGCACATAGTTCATACCTTCTCGTTCGGTCTCCAGCCAAGCAACGTCTATCATCTACATGGTATGGAATCTGAATTTGCGTTTAACCTCTACAGCTGCGTCTCGCATCTTTGTCTTGTGATTGTGTTCTGTTTTCCATATGGCCAGAATAAGTTATTATTAGATAAATGAGAGTTTAGAAATTCTAACAAAGGGTGGATGTGGAATTTTTTAGACAAATTTTGCAAAATGAAGCTCTGCAGCAGATGGTTTTCTTGATCTTGTATTTAAAACGAGATTTCTAGTCTGTAATTGTTACAGGAATCAGATCATCAGCAGCAATTTGTTCAAATGTCATACAAAGCATTATACTGCCAGGCAGGTTGTGTTCATTTCTATCTTAGCAGTCAGAAAATGCTTTGCATTTCTTTGCTGGTTGACAAATTTTGTTTATATAGCAATGGCATAGCTTTACTATTTACTGACGAAGATATAAATAAGGATAGATTTAGATGGCATTTCACCTACCGATAAACAGTTTTACAAACAAGGGATTCTTGCACCATCTGAAGATTTCCCAACAAACTCGTGAAGAATGAAGGAGGAGGGGGGGGGGGGGGGGTGTAACAGCCACCCTTCACTTCACTGGCTATGCCCATGCATATAACAATACCTAAATTTTTGCTGAGCCTCAATTTGCTTAAAAGCAGGTGATTCTGAAACTAAAGTCATTCTTAAACCATTCTTAAGGGACAAACACAAACTGTATAATTTTGGTAAGTAGTGAGAAAGAAATTTCTAGTCTTTACTACTATCTTTGTCACTATCAAAACGATTTTTGTGTGTTCGCAAACTTTTTGTGTGTTCTAACGCTTGTATTTTTTGCTCCAGAACTCAGATAGATAACAAGCCAAATTGTCGACATATTTTGAGCCTGGCTATTATTCTTTATTAATTCTTAAAATTCTGCCAATTTTGAGCCCATAGAAGTATAAAATGTACTTCTATAAATAAAATGTGTAACAAGGAATCCATTCAAACTATGTCCCTCAAATCACACTTTCTCAAAGTATGTCCCTCAAACCACTCAGAGTCTTTTTCCCCATCAAATCATTGTAATAAGGCCTTGATTCAAAAATCTGTTATCAATGTGTTACCATTTAGGGAAACCAAGCTCTTTAAATGCCTATACATCAATGAATTTGTGAGATACCTAATGGCGTCCTCAATTGCAAAATAAGCAAATATAGTAAAAATAGCTCAAAATACCTTATATAAAAGGAATCTTTATTCATTGAAATTTTAAGTCAATTTACTTTCAATTCAAATTTTACCCTGAATTTTTAATTGTTTCTTTAAAATTTGAAAATAACAAGCAATAATATTGTGAAATAAAAAAATACATTGCAAAAAGTTAATACTTAACATGCTTTGATCTCAAAAAAATGATCAAAACAAGTTAAATATTAATCAATATCAATGATCAATATCAGAATTCTATTAATATTATAGCATGTAAATTATGATCAATATTATACATAAATGGACAGGGCCTATATTTCATATTGATATGGAAGTTTTCTCAAGACCACACTTTAAGAAAAGAGGGCTATATATAAAGCATGGAATTTCAAATTATTGACCGTTGCCGTAGAAAGTGTTTTTCTTTATTCGTGTAAAACAAAAATATTCAACATAACACGATTACAAATATTTTTCTAATATAGCCTATTCTTTATGGACTCCGACAGTAACAGTAGTTAAAGGTCAACATTGCTAGAAGCTCTATAATTCATACTTATTTCAATATTGAAGGACACGCTGATCCAAAAAAATTTAAAAAGCGGGGGGTTCTAATAAGAGCAAGGGGCTACAAGATTTTTGAAAAATTAATAATGGAGGGAGTCAATTTATTCGGGGACCTTAGAGTAAGCTGATCAGTTTCAATTATTGCTATTGTTGCTAGATTCAGGGGTCTTAAGCTCTGATTGGCTTTTACACCATTTGAGAGCAAAAAGCTGATTGGCTGTAACATTTTTCGCTCTTGTTGGACCAGATTGATCTGGACAAAGGAACTTGTGCTACGACTCATGGATGTTTTGTACTGTTCTGCTATGTTAGAAAGTTTCAAAACTCTATCAACACATTTACAACAAAAATAAAGCTGAAATGAAAAAACCCATTCCAAAATTTTGGATTTCCAAGATCGCATTTTGGATTTCCAAGACCAAAAAATGTGGGAAAAACCACACTAAAATAGGCCCTGTTAATAATGGATGCTGTAGTGATAGCAATTTTTTCCGCAGGAAAATGCTGATAGTGAAAACGACAGATAGTTACTTTAAAAATTTACTGAAGACAAGTGGAAATATTTGTGGAACATAAAATGCTTAAGAGAATGAATAAAAAGTTTTAGGATTGTGAATAGTGTTACTTTAAACAATATAATGTTCCATGTTCTTCATTGCATCATATTTTTCCATCATATATAAGTATTAGAAAATATTTCTAGTCTTGGTTAATAAGTGATCAAAACTTTGGTTAAAACATTTATAATCTAATCAAATTTATCAAATCAAAAGGAGCATTGTGTAACTTTGCTCTTTTGTAGATCATTTCTTCTCGAAAACATTCAAGATTAAAAACATATATTTTATAATCTAGTAAAATAATTTCAAATTAAAGATATTTGCACAAGTTTTTATTTTCCAAACTATCCCTGGCTTATATCTAAGATAAAAATTACGCAAGTAGAATTAGGGTGTTTTAAGTAGATTATTGCAGCAAAAATAATGTTGGCAAAATTTTGGCAAATTTTATTACCCAAGAAAAATGTACAGTAAACAAAGTTCAAGAAAAGTTTTTTTTGCATCTTATGTCAATAGCAGCATATTATTATCAGGTTGTATTTTTATCATTATCAGTGTTATGTTAATAGAAAGAGAAAATTGTTTTAAAATATTTTGAAGATTGAATCATTTAACTAAAAATTCAATAGAAAATTAAGATAGCAGACATGTGAAATTCATTCTTTCAAAAGCTTGTTGGAAGAACTTGAACATGCTAACACAGTTTTTGTCATTTTTCCAACACAAATGAACAAATAGATGAAATATAGAAAGCTATACCTTTAAAAGGGATATGTTTTTAACAAAGTTACAAGCTTTTGGAAGAAAATGTAAAATGATTATCTTTTAAAATTTAAACAGAGTTTTGGGTTTCTTTTTGTAAAAAAAACTAATCAAATTTCAAATGTTATTTGATGCCAAAAATGTTTCTTTATCGAGTTAATTTTTTTAATCACTTTTAACTCGATTCAATAAACGTCAATAATCAAAATTTTTTAATGATTATTCCAAAGCAGAACGAATGAATTTCGCTCGAAAGTACAGCAAAATGCATTTTTGCGCCTATATCAACTATTTATATTTCTGAAAAGTTGCAATATAAAAAAATTTAAAGGCATTTCTATTGCACTATGATTTTTCCAGGGGTCATAGGTACTTGAAAATTTTACTAGTTAACAAAAGTTAGAGTCCAGAATTACGTTGGGTTTTATTTACTAAGATATTCAGTTAAAATTACTGACTCATTCAATAAAAAATCAAATCAAATTTTCAAAATTGAAACATTTTTTAACATAACCTCCTAAAGAGCAAATTGTTCTTGTATTTACTAAAATTATATAGCTACATTTAAAAGTCATCATTTTTTACATCTAAACTCCACTTTCGTGAGAGTAATACAAGTTAAATAGTTTAGAAAGTAAATTAAATACAGGATAAATTAAACATATTTATTCCACAAAATCGGTGCTGCATGGCAGAATATATGTTCTCCTGCTGTTTTCGAATTTTTCAAGTTATGTTTCAAATTGTATTTATCATAAGCTAATCTTGTCATGCGCGCTGGCTCATTCTATGGGACAAAGGCCCCTAGATAGTTAGAGGTGCAAATTCGTTGTAAAATTTAATAGAAAACATAGGAATTACCATATTTAAAAGCAAACGTTAACTTTAATCAAACTGATAATTCAGACAATAGACATGGTTTTCATGCTAATTTCAGACTTTCATACTATCGTTATTTGTAATTTGTAAGAAATATTCAGCTTTTCAAAGTGCTGAAATTCTGCAGACAAAATTTAGTATTATGCTTTAAATTAGCTTGTGGTCTGATATTGCTATTAATGATATTTCCTTTCGAAATGATAGATCTTTGGCTAATAATTTTTTTGGAAAGACCAGAGTTTTGTAAGCTATTTTTAAGGTTGTAGTGAAATTCTTTTATAAAAGCGGAATAAGCATATGCTGTTATGATTTGGAAAAATATCTTCTTATATTGAAGCAAATATTACCAACTATTTTAAGCAGCTCTTGTAATCAGTGGTATAAAAAAACGTCAAAATGATTTTATGTAGCTTAGCAAAGGGCGAATTTTTCTAATGTTGATATGCAAGATTAAAATCTAAATAACTCCACCTTCCTAGCTTTATGCTTTCAGTCAAGCCGTGTTTTTTTAACGTTTTCTGTCAAAAAAGGGGTCGATGGTAAGGAAATGAGGATGTGCAATTTGTTGTTTTTGGTTAATATTATTTTTCAGCGTACATAAAAAAATTCTAAGATGGTTTTCATCATTTTTCAATTTCGGGAAATTTGAGAGGCTAAAATATTTCCAGAAGGGCAAAATTTTGTAACATCTCACCACTGTCGTGCAACTTTACAAAAAGACTGCAGCTTTGCTTCTAGCAATAAATGATTTTGTAAATTTCAACTAATAAAAGATATATATATATATTCAGAAAAAAAATTTAACCTATTGAACAAAATATTAAACAGTTTTCTTATGCCAGATTTAGGCTAATTAATTTTGTAAAATTCAAAAAATCCTTTCAGTCAATTAATTCCAACGATGTCGTAAAAATGGTGCGTTTAAAATGATTTTTCAACAAACACATGCCCAAGTAATGTATATTTGCAATTGCTATTAGTTGATAGTCTAGCTTTGATTTTTAGCTGATGATTCTAAATCTAAATTTTTTGCAAATTAATAAAATATTTTAATCTGACAAAAAAGCTACCTTACTTTAGATTGAAATCAGTCCAGAACCTTTAATTATTA